TTGTCAAATTATGAAATATATATTTCCCTGTTCTGATGTGGTATGATAGCTAGAAATGAGAAGGATGCAGAGTGTGTGATAGGAGTTCCCCATTTTTACAGCTCATATCCTGGTAAATTCTGAATTTGATTCTAGCCCAGAGTATTCTTTTTTTTATTGTTGTTTAGTTACAGTTGTCCCCATTTCCCCCCATTGCTCTCCCCTGCCCTGTCCAACCCCACTCCTCCACTCAACCCTTCTCCCCCCATTGTCCTTGTCCATGGGTGCTTCGTACGTATTCCTTGACTTGGCCTTTCCCCTTCTTTCCCACATTATCCCCACTCTCTTCTCCCCTCTATTCACTTTCAGTTTGTTCTTTATTTCCATGTCTCTGGTTCTTTTTGCTCGCTTGTTTGTTTTGTTGATTAGGTTCCACTTATAAGTGAGATTGTATGGTATTTATCTTTCACTGCCTGCCTTATTCCACTTAGTATAATGCTCTCCAGTTCCATCTGTGCTGCCTCGAAGGGTAGGAGCTCCTTCTTTGTTTCAGCCGCGTAGTCTCCCATTGTGTAAATGTCCCACAGGTTTTTGATCCACTCAATAACTGATGGGCACTTAAGCTGTTTCTAGCACTTAGCTATTGTAAATAACACTGCTATGAACATAGCGGTGCATAGGTCCTTTTGAATTGGTGATTCAGGATTCTAGGGTATAATCCCAGAAGTGGAATTGCTGGATCATAAGGCAGTTCCATTTTTAGTTTTTTGAGGAAATCCCATACTGTTTTCCACAGTGGCTGCACTTGTTAGCATTCCTTCCAACCGTGTACTAGGGCTCCCTTTCCTCCACGACCTTGCCAGCACTTGTTTGTTGATTTGTTAGTGATGGCCATTCTGACGTGTGTGAAGTGGTATCTCATTGTGGTTTTAGTTTGCATCTCTGTAATGGCTAGTAATGCTGAGCATTTTCTCATGTTTCTGTGGGCCCTCTGTATGTCCTACTTGTCTGTTCAGGTACTTTGCCCATTTTTTCATTGGATTTTTTTGTGTTCCTGGTGTGGAGTCATATGTGTTCTTCATATATTTTGGAGATCAGACCCTTGTTCAAGGTACCGTTGGCAAATATGTTTCCCCATATGGTTGGTTCCCTTTCCATTTTGATGATGGTTTCTTTAGCCGTGTAGAAGCTTTTTAATTTGATGTAGTCCCATTTGTTTGTTCTTTCCTTTATACCCCTTGCCCTAGGAGATATATCAGGGACAATATTGCAGAGCATTTTTAAAGCTCCAGATTTTTCTTAAAACTCCAGATGTTGACATTGAAATGCCTACAGGACATCTTCAACAGGTCACTGCTTAACAAGTTCAAATCTAAGCAGCCTTAGTTTCCAAAAACTGATCTTCTTTGAGGGCTTTTGCATCAGTGAATGAAATTTCTATCTGTCTGCATCCTCCACAAAATCTGATTTTTTACTAAATTTCACTGATTGCTACATTGTAAATCTCTCTCTGCCTTTTCTTCATCTTCATTCATCACCACCACCTTAATCTAAGCTACCATCACTGCACCTCTAACTCCTTCCTGCATCTCTCTTTGCCCCTGTCTATAATGCAGCCTCATTTGATAGTTCTTCAGTGTAAAATTTATTGCTGTACCTTATTTAACATCCTCCAGTAATTTTGCCATATCTTGACTTTTTTCTGCCCCATTTTGTTTCATATGCATTTCCTCTCTAGCGGTGACTGGCCTGTCTGCTTCTCTTCTATTGAATTTGAATGAGCTTATCATAGAACTGCTTTTAGACCTTTGCTCTTGCTGTGTCCAGACTGGGACACTTCCCATACCTTTCTGATCTCATATTAAAGTCTTCCCTTAGGTCTTTGCAGATCTCTGGGCCTAAACCAGCCTCTCGTTATAACAATCTCTTGGCTCCTCACCTCCCATATTTTTAATAGCATTTATCTCTCTTTGCAGTTATGTATTTGCATGGTTATTGGGCATTACTGTCTGTTTTCCATAATAAAATGTAAGTTCTAGGCTGAGGCAATTTCAGTGTCTTCAGACGGCTCTGCCAACAGAAGAGAAATATTAAAGTACATAACACTGAATACCGAAGTACATAACTAGGCAATGAAATACAAAGTGATTAATTCTAAAGTGAGATGAAGTACAGATGGAGTCACAGTGTTGGCATTTTAAGTATTGTTATTTGGGAATACTTTAGTTACTGTAGCATCGGCTTGACCAGCCTCTAATTTTACATTTTCTATTCACTAAATACTAGTAATATTTTGAGTTTTGAATTCCCCAGTTCAGATTAAGAGGCTCCAGAAGTTGATTGTACTTGAATGAGCTTTAGAATAAAAACTTTCCCCCTTTCTCACATCTGTATAACATTTGAAGTTTATAATGAAAAAAATTAGTGGTCCCATAGTTCTCGATGGGAATATGTTAGTTGCCTGAGATGTAAAAATTTTAAAACATTACTAAAACTTACAAACACAAGAAGTCATAGATGTTGTAATAATTGTAATAGTGAGAAACGTAGATGTTTCTCACCTTATAAAAGTTAAAGAGGAATCAAGACGATTAATATAATATTGAAATTATGTTTTTATGTTTTTTTTGGTATTTAGACTTTAATTTACTGCTTGATTTGTTGGCAGATTCAAATGTTCTTATGAAAACCCTTAAGATTTTAGTATTTTCTTGCAAATTGCATTAGTTCTTTGTTTACACTTAAAAATTAGTGCTTTCAGTAAGATTTGGTTTCTGCCTATCCTGAATTCTCCCTAGGAGTATACAGCTTCAAATGTGAAGAGGCACAGTCAGCAGAAAAAAGAGGTGGTCTGAACATTTAGGTGTTAAATATGCATGTTAATTAAGAAAAAAATTAGAAAAATATGAAAACAGATGTTACATAAATTATTGCAGTCCCAGGGCAGCAGTAACTTATACACTGACAATAATTTTTATATGTGCGTGTGTGTGTCTGTTTCTAGATTTCTCAGTATTTATGCAGTTCCGCAGAGAATAACTAGAAAAAGAACTGGTATATCCTTTCAGTGAGACTGTGGTAAACATTCCTCTCGCACATGGATTGCTGAGGAAGTTTGGTTGTTTCGTACAGTCTCACTGTACAGATAGTGTTGCTGTCTCCTCATCTTGCCTGTAGTCTTTTTCTTCCCTTCTTGCTCTGCCTGATGATATGTCAGTGAGATCTCTTTGTGGACATATCCTGTCAGAACAAGAAAATAAATTACAATCCTAGCAATGTAAGAAATGTAAATTGACCTTAGCATAAAGTGTGTGTTTAGAAATAGAACAAATTACAACTACTCAGGGACACTGATTGTGGTGTCAGGTTTTTTTTTTGTTACTGTCACACCCTCTGAAGAAATAGCCATTGTTCTCTGCATAGTATGGACACATTAGTGTGATGATATATATTGTGTTAACATAAATACATATTCATCAAATACATAGTGTTGGAATATGTCAAAGATATTTGAATATTTTTTACTTTCAAAAAGAATGAAAATGGTCTGTATTTTATAAGGGAAAGATGAGAAATAGAGACATGCTTTATTTTAGTGGTTGATCAACTTTATTTCAACCATCTAGGAAAACCAAGTGACTGTACTGACCAAGGAGCTGCTGACAATATTTAGGTATATTCCATATGCATATTACACAATTTAGAAATGTGTTGTGTATTACTTTTTCAGATAAAATTAAAAGTTAAAATAAGGAAATGCTACATTAGAATGTCATAAATCATTCTTTTAAACAAATGAAACATGAATTATATGTAATACAGCGCATAAAACATTTTTTAGAAATCTGTCTAGAGATTAATCCTACATTTATTTCTATTATTCAGGAATCCTACTTTGTTCTTGAGTAGTATATGATACCAAAATGTATTTTAAGTAATTTGAATCTCAGTAGATTTCAGTTACTTCTGTTATCCTAATATTTTTCATTTCTGTTACCAATTTATGTTTCACATTATGTTGCCTAATTACTATTGACCTTTTGTACTTATGCTGAGCTACCGATAAGGTCTAACAGGTTATTGGGAGTAAACTCATATAGAATGAAATTTAAAGGAGAGTGATAATGATATGTTTAGTAATTTTTAATATTGAAAAGTTTTATACTTGAATTGAAAACAAACAAACAAGCAAAATATAACCAGACACTGAAATTGAGAACAGGCTGACGGTGACCAGAGGGGAGGGAATTTCAGGGGAAGGGGGAAAGGGTTTGAAGGAACAAGTATAAAGGACACATGGACAATAATGAGGGGGGACAGTGACTGGAGGGAGGTGGCAGGGGCTGGGGGGTGGGCTGGGATGGGGGTAAAGGGCAGACAACTGTACATGAACAACAATTTAAAAAAAGAAGTTTTATGCTTAAATTGATAGCTATTTTAAGAAATTCAGTTGTGATTCTTGCAAAGTTTATGTAAAGATATATGTGTGTCAAATATATTAAAGGTGATAGTTATGCAAAAAGTCTATGGAAATTAATTTTCAATTCACAAACAATATTGCCACACTTATATGTTTGTATATTTTAATTTTATATCTTACTAATGCTTTGGAATACACTTTTAGTGGAATTTTTTTCATGTTTCTGTTCAAGTTTCAAGTTTCTGTTTTATATTTTATGTGATTTTAATACTTAATATTTTATTATATATTAGAATAGTGTTTGAACACTTTATTTTATTGTAATGAAAAGAAGTTGTATGATTTGTTTTATATTGAAGTATTTTGAATTTTTTGGTAACATAATGCCTTTATTTCATGTATTAATAAATGACTCCCTTTCTTCCTGGAGTTAAAATAGGTAATGGAAAGAGTGATTAATGAGTAGACTAACATTTGTCCTCTAAGAACTTAAAATAATATGACACATATTTTCAGCCTGTCTTTTCCATTTTTGCTTTGTTTTAGGATTTCTTCTGGAATAGGAATATTTGAAACTATTTTATTTGTTTACTTTTCTTAGGTATTTGCTGTTTTTCCAGCAGCATAATTGAAGGAGTACTCTGCTGATCTTTATTTCTCGATTCTTCTTTACGTCCTGTTTGCCACCCAAGACTCTTGTATTTGGAGAACTCTGTTGTGCTGATCCTTCAATCACCTTTGACCCACAACTAGAGCATGCATATTCAAGTGTCAGTTAGATTTGTGGATCAGTAAAGTTCTTCTAAAAAGGTAAGCCTATATTTATTCAGAATGTACTCCTACCAGTACCAGTCTTCATGTGTTCAGGCTTTATAACAAAAATACCACAGACTTGGTATCTTATAAACAACAGAAATTTTACTGCTCTGGAAGCTGGGAAGTCCAAGATCAAGGGACCAGGAGATTTTTTGTCTGGTGAGGACTTCCCGGTTCATAGACTGGGCAGGAATGAGACAGCTCTCTGGTGTCTCTCCTTGTAATGGCATTAATCTCATTCGTAGGGGCTGTACCTTCAGGACCTAATCACTTTCCAAAAGCATCACTCCTAATATCATCATATTGGGAATTCAGATTTCAGCATATGAATTTTGGAACATAAACATTCATTTCATAACAGTGTCCTTGTGTTCCATAGATTCATGTATGAAAAAATGTGTATGTGTGTATACATATGTATGTATTTATACATTTCTACTGGTTTTAGATTGTAGGCTCCTTCACAGAATAATGCTAACCTCTACCACAGTTACTTCGAGTTACCAGATCTGTTTCTCTCCACCTTGTATCTATTCACTGGCTTCCAGTCTCTTCCTTTTTTTCATTGTTTCTCTTATCTGAGTTTTCAGAGGGGCATTAAAAATTTCTTCTACTTCCCACCCTGGCTGGTGTAGCTCAGTGGATTGAGCACGGGTCTGTGAAATAAAGGGTCGCTGGTTCAATTCCCAGTCAGGGCCTTCCCCTTTCTCTAAAAATAAATAAATAAAATAAAAATTTCTTCTACTTCCCTTATGGCACTTGCCTTAGGGAATGTTTTTTTGTGTCTTTCTTTTCCCCTTTTCTTTCTCCCCTCACTCCTTTCTCTTTCCCTCCTTCTCCACATTCATTAAATTTGTTAAAGGAGCGGCAAAATTAGAATGGTTGAACTTAGAGTTGAAGGTATGTCAGCTGGCATTTACACTTTTTTCCTTTTTTTACCACAACCCATAGTAAGAAAGAAAATTTACATTTCTGAGCTATTTTTCACAGATACAAATGTACAAATGAAACTGAAACAAAAGTTGAAACAATATTTACCTTGACTACCTGGAATATATGCTGGGCTCTATTCTATTATCTTTTTTGTATGTTTTATTTAATATGTGCTGGTGCGTATAACTATCTAATAATGGATCACTCTTATAATTTCAAAAACCATGCCTTAGATCACTTGTGTATTTGTTCATGACCTACTGTTAGAAAGGTAAATGGAATCAGGCCGTTGTTTTTAGTCTCTGTCAAGCTGCTTTAATTCTCTCTCCTCTGTGTTTCTCATCTTTCTCCATTCAGTACAATCTATGAAATGATTTGTGAAAGAACTGGGTGACCGCTGGGAACCAGCCCTTGGTTCCCAGAAGAACCAGCCCTTGGTTCTTCTATAGTAAGAACACAGGTACAAATAGAAGTCAAAATTTGAATGGAGGATAGTCTTTGATTGAGTCGTCCCTTAAAGCAGAGTGTATAGTCTTTATTCTTTTCCTGTTTGTTTTCATCTATGTAAATTGTGTGCTGATATCCTTAAGTCATTCTTGATTTAAAACATTTTTAACTTTTTCAGTCCTTTGTGACAGCTTAGAATAACCCAAATACTTTCTCAAAGTGGTGTCTTCTAGTACCCATTCTTACTTTATTTAGCATTTTTATCCTTTTAATAAATTTCAGGCATTTTTCTGATTCTAAAAGTAGTATGTTGGCTTAGAAAATTTGGTGTACATATAGAAAATTTTTCTAAAAGATAAAAAATATCTCTATTCCAAGGCAGCAAAAGTGTTTCTAAGAGGGAAGTTCATAATGATAAACTCCTACATTAAGAAAAAAGAGCTCAAATAAACAACCTAATTTTATACCTCAAAGAACTAGAAATAAAAAAGAACAAGCTAAGCACAAAGTTAGTAGAAGAAAGGAAAGAGCCCAGAAATAAATGAAATAGAGACAAAAATGTCAATGAAACCATAAGCTGGTAATTTTAAAAACGGTAAACAAAATACACAAATCTTTAGCTAGACATATTGAGAAAAAAAAGACAGGATGCAAATGAAGAATGAAAGAGGAGACATTGCTATTAATACCACAGAAATACAAAGGATTATAACAGAATACAATGAGCAATTATATACCAACAAATTGGACAACCTAGAAGAAATGGACAAATTTCTAGAAACACACAACTTACCAAGACTGAACCATCAAGAAATAGAAAATCTGAACAGACCAATTACTAGAAGGACATTGAATCAGTAATTAAAAATCTCTCAACAAAGAAAAGTAGAGGACTACATGGCTTTTACTGGTGAGTTCTGGCAAACATTTAAAGTAGAATTAATGCCAGTTCTTCTCAAACTCTACCAAAATATAGAAGAGGAGGAAACACTTCCAAAATTATTTTCTGAAGCCAGTGTTACCCTGATACCAAAACCAGATAGGGGCTCTAGAAGAAGAAAAAAAACTAGAGGCCAGTGCCTCTGATGAACACACATGTACAAATCCTCAACAGACTGAAACGAACTGAATTTACCAATACATTGAAAGGATCATACCCTGTGATCAAGTGGGATTTATTCCAGAGAAGGAAGGACGCTTCACTATCCACAATCAGTGTGATATAGACCACACGACCATCTCAATAGATGTTCACAAAAAATAAATCATTCATGATAAAAACATTCAACAAAGTGGGTATGGAGGAAATACGCTTTAACATAATAAAGGCATCTATGACAAGTATACGGCTAACATCATACCCAGTGGTGAAAAGCTGAAAGCTCTTTCAGATCATGAATAAGACAAGAATGCCCAGACTCACCACTCCTTTTTTCCCTCAAGGACCCAACTGTCCTTTACTTGGGCTATTTATCAGGGTGTTTTCTTTAGTGAACAGCCATGAAGGACAAGGCAATGTCCCCCGTGTACAAAGAACCAGTCCTGCCACTTTTATTTATTTAGTTAGTTTTTTAAATTTTTCTTCAATCTTGCCACTTTTAATTGACATAGTACTAGAAGTCCTAGTCAGAGAAATCAGGCAAGAAAAGGAAGTAAAAGTAGTCCATATCAGAAAAGAAGTAAAACTTTCTTTATGCAGAGGTATGATATTGTATATAGAAAACCCTAAAGACTGTACCCCAAAATGATTGGAACTAATAAAGTAATTCAGCAAATTTGCAGGACACAAAATCAATGTGTAGAAATCAGTTGCCCTCCTATACACCAAAGATGAACCATCAGAAAGAGAAATTAAGAAAACAATCCCATTTACAGTTGCATCAAAAAGAATAAAATACATTGGAATAAATATACCTAAGGAAGTAAAAAATCTGTACACTGAAAATTATAAGACACTGATGAGAGGAATTGAAGAACATAAATGGATATTCTTTGCTTGTGGATTAGAAGAATTAATGTTGTTAAAATGGCCATACAAAATGTCCACCCCAAGCAATCTGTAGATTCAGTGAAATCTCCATCAAAAGTCCAATGGCATTTTTCACAGAAATAGAAAAAATAATCCTAAAATTTGTATGGAACTACAAAATATCTTAAAATAGCCAAAGTAATCTTGAGACAAAAGAATGAAACTAGAAGCTTCATATTCCTGACTTTAAACTACAGAGCCCAACACAAATAATGCCTCTTTTTTTATGACAAAATTTTTTATTACAAAATCATAGCATGTAATTCTGTAATGTAACACTATCATACTCAAGCACACCATATGACCTTTCAGGTGAAATGCTCAAATTAAAACTATAAATTATTAGGTCCACATTATTACCCTACCAGTCACCCTCAAGCAGGCGTTACTTCTGCTGGACCCTGTATATTACAAAGCTATAATAATTTAAGTGGTATGATATTGACATAAAATCACATAGACTAATGGTACAGAATAGAGAGCTCAGAAATAAACCCTCACATACATGGTCAGTGAATTTATGACAGAGGAACTAAGAACATATAATGGGGATGGTAGTTTCTTCACTAAATAGTGTTGGAAAAGTTGACAGCTACATGCAAGTGAATGAAACTGGACCTCTGTCTGAAACTGGACCACATGTGAACATCAACTCCAAAATGCGATAAAGGCTAAATTAAGGTGGGGAATCATAAAACTTCTGGAAGCAAACAGGGGGTAAGCTCCTTGGCATTTGTCCTGGCAGTGGTATTTTGAATTTGATGTTAAAAGCATAGCAACAAAAGCAAATATAAGCAAGTGGGACTACATCAAACTGAAAAGATTCCACATGGCAAAGGGAACCATCACCAAAGTAAAAGGCAGCCTACCAAACAGAAGAAAATATTTGCAAATGATATAGCTGATAAGAGGTTATATTTAAAATATAAAAAATACTTTTATAATTTAGTATCAGGAAATCCAAACAATCTGATTAAAAATTTAGGCAGATTAACTGAATAGATATTTTTCCAAAGAAGACGTCAAAATGGCCAACAGATACATGAATAGGTGCTCAACCTCGCTAATCATTAGAAAAATAAAAATTAAAATGGCACCAAGGTATCTGCTCACTGTCATAATGTCTGTCATAAAAAGTCCAAGAGATTATAAGTGTTGGTGAGCATGGAGAAGGAGGAACATTTATGCACTATTGGTGGGAATGTCAATTGGTACAGCTACTGTGGAAGAGAGTATGGAGTGCCTCTAGAAATTAAAAATGCAGCTATCCTGTGATCCAGCAATTTGATTTCTGGGTGTATATCCAAAGAAAATGAAGACAGGATATTGAAGAGATATTTGCAATCTCATGTTTATTACAGTATTATTCACAATAACCAAGCTATGAAAACAATCTAAGCATTCACCAATGAATGAATGGACAATGGAATATTATTCAGACATGAGAAAGAAAGAAATCCTGCCATTTGCAATAACATGGATGGACTTTGATGGCATTAAGTTAAGCAAAATAGAGAAAGATAAATGCTGCATTCCTATCACTCACATGCACAATCTGTTATAAAAGAGGGAAAAAATATTCAAG